TTTTGTTTTAAGATTTTAGACACAGTCGGCTGGTACACTACAATAATAATGATGATGATGATGATGATGATGATGATGATGATGATGATGATGATGATGATGATAATATTAATAATAAAATATTCATAATTATGTCATCAAAGAAACTGCAAGATTGCAGTACAAACCTATGGTGATCAGGAAAATATAACACCACTAATATGGGACGCTTGTATGTATAGAATCCACTAAAATCTGTAGAGTAATAGAATAGATATAGTCTATAGATATAGGGATCTATCACCGTGTATTTGTATGCACACAATAAATAAACATTAATCTCACCCGCGTGCATGCACACATACACGCTCTATATGCTATAATGCATATTCTGCTGCTGCTCGAAACCTCATTTTTCAATTTCTTGATTTCATAGTCTAAAATCTTCAAATGATCATTGTAGTTCATTAAATCATTGAATTTGAGTTTCGTTATCTCCCTTATCATAACTGACTGTCCTTCTGTGTTTTTTAAGTAACTGCTGACATTTCATTTGAGTTGAAACTGATTTTGATATCATCACTGCTCACTGACTATATACATACATATATGTCTCACGCACCAATATCATGAGTCTACGGCTGCTGAAGGTTACATCAGTACAGATAGGCTTATGCCAATACGCATCACATGTTGGGAGAAGGTTGCGCATAAATCCTGAACTGTTGGTCTAAGATAACAATGTTTAGTCTCAGGGTAGCTATGCTAGCAATAGGTCGAGGTACCACGCTCTGCATGGGTATGCTAGTGCGAGCGCAAGCATGCTTTTCTGTGTAAATACAGGATCGCATATAGTTTATACGCCACTATGAGAACATGCGCCTTCACTGTTCAGTTATAGATTAATATTTTTTTGCGTTTCCGTTTATTAAGTTGAGCAACGTACATTAGGGGTACACTTGTAACTCAATTAGATATATATATATATACCACTGCAGCGGGAGGGTATCTTTTACCATTGTTGGTAGAATATGTTAGAGGAAATGTTGGGAGAACGTTTGCAAAATATTGGCAAGGTGTTGTCGGATTATTTTGACAGAAATGTTGGCAGATGTGCTGACTGAATATTTGCAGAAACGTTGGCACATATGTTGTCAGAAAAATTGGCAGAATATGCCGGCATGAATGCATGTTGGCAGAAGTGTTGACAGGAGTTTTGGCAGATGTGTAGGCCGAATATTTGCAGAAGCGTTGGCTGAAATGTTGCCTGAATATGTTGGCAGAAGTGTTGGCAGAATTGGCAGATGTGTCGTGCAGAAACGTTGGCAGAAATGATGGCAGATGTATTGGCTTTATGTTTGCAGAAACAGTGGCGAAATGTTGATGGAATCGCTGTCGGCCACTGTTAGTGGTCACACGCACGCATGCACGCACGCACACGCACGCGCGCACACACGCACGTACTCATGCACACGTACAAGCATGGACGCACACACGTACACACACACACACGCACACACGCACGCACTCACGCACACGTACAAGCATGGACGCACGCACGCGCGCGCTCACACATACGCACACACACGCACACACGCACGCACTCATGCACACGTACAAGCATGGACGCACGCACGCACGCACACGCACGCACACGAAGTCTCGATTGATATGCGTAGTTGGATCAACTGATTTTTCCAGACAGCAGACAGTTAATTTTCGCCGTGTGATCGGTGCGTGAACCTACCTTGTTGCCCCTATCTCGTGATTGACAGCTGCTGATTAAGATGTGGCAGCGCAGACGGTCACATCTGTTTGTTTAGCTTCCGTCTGCCTTCGTGTTGTCCTGATTAAGCAGCGATCGAACGAGCTTAACATCACACGTTGATTATCGAACACTCTTATTTGCTTTAATTATCTACCCCCGTCCTGGCCCGGGGGGGGGGGGGGCTTCAATGCTGCACTCACAACAGCGGATAAGAAAGCGCAAATCACTCTGCAGAAATAAATGTCAGCGGTGTGAATAGGAAGGCGAAGATGTAGATAATGTGGCAGAGATGGGGGTGGGGGTCGGTATCGTGGCGTCCTGAGTCGTGTATCGTGTTGACGTGTTTGCGTAGAAAGCATCTATCTATTGGTGTTGATGGCCATGCTGATACGCCGGCGGGGGTTGCACGGACCAGGGTCGCCGAATTTACCTAATCTGTCGTTTCACATAACCCCGTAATGTCTGCTGGCCGACAGACCGCAAACATTCGCCTGTCGATACTCGATTCAGCAATTGTGCAGACTCATGATCGAACACGCGTGAAATTCGATCTTGGGGGAGCGTGATGAGAGAGGATGGAGTTGTCAATATGCAAAATTCACAACGTGAAAACTAAATAACCACAAGATCTGCACAATAACCACAAGATCTGCCCAATAACCACAAGATCTGCACAATAACCACAAGATCTGCACAATAACCACAAGATCTGCAAGCCCTCCGTAATCTGATGCGGATAACATAATTAACGGAATTGACCAAATTATCAGAAATGACTAATAATAGATTAGAGAGAACAATAAAGAGAGAATAATCTATTGCTATTCACTCCTGATATTATGTAGTATGTGACCGTGAGCATATATATGTGTGCTCTCATGTATGAGAGTTGGTATGTGTTCATGGTATGGCACTCACGTATGCGATGCTGCATATGTGTGAATATTGTTCTCAGATCTGGTCACGTTCTATTGGTGTAGTGAGGCACGAAGGGTC